TTTTAGCAGCTGCGCAACTTATGCCTCATTTTCGTCACAAACGCGACGCGTATCCACCGTATGGTCACGTGGTTACTTCTGCGTGATGGCCTCAGTTGCTTTAATGTACTTTCTGAGCGAATCGCTTAACCGGTGATGCGTCGCGGTGTTTTTGCCGCCTGAAATCGATGCAAATGCAATTAGCCGTAATGTTTCTTGATGCGTCGCCTGAAACGTTCACTGGCGGTTCACCACCGTTTGTCTTTGCCAGCTTGCCAGCCTTGCCGTCGCCGGTTTCGGCCGAAAATCGACGTTTCGCGGCTTCTAATTAATAGCCGAAGATTTTCTTCTGTTTGTCCTCCGGCGAAGAGTCTTGCTGGCTGGTTTGGCGTCGCCGGCTCCACCAAGCATCTGGCTGGCTGGCTGGCCGGCTGGCATGGTTTATGAGCTTCATGGGATTTACGAGTGGTAGCCTCGTCGCCTTAAGCGAGCTTATCGAATACCGTTGCCATTTGCCCCGCCCCGATTCGCTGGCAAGGAAGTGAACGTCGATTATGAGGAATAAACGATCTACAGGACGCCTGCGCCTGACGCTGGGCCTGCGCGCATCCCGTCGTATCATCGCCGCGCCGGCGTGCATGATCGATTGAAACCACAGGTCCATTACTGCCAGGCCCGGTAATGACCGTAATATGATAGTAGTATAGTACTTTGGTATCCGTCATAAATGAGTGACACAACTCACGAGTTAGGTTTGCTAAATGAATATTGATCGGAGAGTCCGTGCTCGACGAATCGAACTCGACGCCGAAGCTTCCCTTCCATCATCGCCCTCGGCTTGCACAGCTGGTTTCGGCTTTCCGGCTTTCCGCATTCAGCTTTCGGCCAAGCCGCCAAGCCGACGATTTCTGAGCTTTGGCAACAAGAAGCGAATCTGTTTTCGGTCGCGAATCACTGCAGTCCGCAAGGGATCCATTTCGTTTTCGAAACGATATGCGATTGCACATCGAAAGTACTTATCTGCGACCTTTTCGATGCTCTAACTCGACCGATACGAAAGCATTTTCTCAATTCCACACCAGCACGTTTGAATTTTCTGTACCATCGGCAGTGTTTTTCGAAACAACCTCGGCAAGTATTTATTGACTGAGGGGTGCTGTTTTGCGGTGACCGAGGCAAATGCGTCGCAAAAAAAAGAAAGGAAAACATCATGCTCACGCCTTTCCTGATTACTGCACCGCACAGTCAACAATCACGCGGGTTAAGGCAAGATGTAGCCACACGAGGGAGGGGGCAGCGTCGTCGAACCTCATCTTTTCGGGCCTGACCATGCCAGAGCACGATGCTGTGCCTGTTGTTCGAGAAGTCAGCGACTTACAAGTCGTTTCTCGCTGGTTACGCCGAATTAACGTGGAGTTAGTTCCTCGTTCGAGGAAATTATCATTAAAGACAGAAATTGTCAGTTCAACAAATTCCAGCGCAGCACCCGTATAGCTCAAAGCTGACCTCTTAGCCACCGTGTACCACGTCCCATAGCTTTGGACCATTTAGGTAACGATGTCGGTGCTTCTCGCACGCCAAATGTGCGCTTTGCCGTTTTGGCTAGGGGCCGACAAACAACTGGACTAACATTAGACTAGACCACAGCCTTACATTTCGGGAGCGCCTGCGAACGGCTTTCGCGAAGACCAAGGTCCACAACAACATCGAGCGCTAATTTGCGGGTTCCAGCTGGGAGTGCGACGCTTACGCCATGCGAACAGCGGCCCTCGTTCATTCACAATCGAGCCCTGCACCCCCGCGTGGCTCCAGATCAGCTACTAGCAACATCTGAGGATCACCCTTAACAACACAATGAATGCCCCGTGGCACTTCGTTACCATGGCTAGCGATGGTCTCGAACTGGGGCACTGTCCTTGACTCAAGCTCAAACTGCGGAAACCATTCTGGCGGTACATCATCGACCTAACGACGTCAACGCTTAACGTCAGCGGCTAGTGGACAAATGTCTGGCAGAATTCCAATGTGCCAAATATGCTGAATTGAAGATTACTAATGTAACAAGGCTTGAAAAGCTTAGGGAAACCTCAATATGCGATATCTTACGCCATAAGCATGATGAGCTCTTCGTACGCTCGAGTATGTCAAATGAAGAATGACCCCTCCAAGACCAGATTTCAAAACGTACTGCACGGTCCTTTTGCTCCTACTTTCCTAGGGTAGTATTTAAGTAGGCCAAGGCTCCATGTGCGATGAGCTTCTGCAGTGCCCGATTCATCTAGCTTCATTTCTTTGTAGCCTAACTAACGGCATCCCTAGGCAACTGGGAGCAAGGAACGATGCCTTGTGCTGTGAAATCTTTTCTTGGAGAAACGATTCGTTATTTAACATACTCGGGCGTACGAACGCGAGCTAACGATGCCTGTGCGGTGGCGTATAAATGGTACTAGCTTCTAAAAGATTCGTTACGAATGCCAGATGATCCTAGCAGACAGAATGAGGTGAGATACACCGTATATTTGGCAGGTGTTCAAATACCATGGAGAGGTGGCTTACTTAAATCCCCCTCCTTCCTAGACGAGAGGACGGTGCCGTTAACCGTGAAATTCGGTCTTTGAGGTATCATCGGTTGTTAAATATGAAGTGCTTGTTTCCAAGCCGCTGTTTCTCTAGATTGAGAGGTTA